GCTCGCCAGTATGTGAAGCATCCGGCCCAAACCACACCTCTGCGTCAGCACTTGTAGTGAGAGCAATTTCGTCACCACACGGCCATGGAGGAGGGATGACCCAGCGTTTGGGTAGGAAAGTAGTCTCCTTTGCTTTGTGCTAGAGCTTTACATCCCATGTGAGGGTGGAAGAGTAGGAGAAGGGCTGGAGAGTGAACAGAGAAGTAGTCCGTGTAACACACCACCTTGTATTTTCCCAGGCCAGATACATGTGAGGTATTTTGTGTTTTATTTAGAAGACTACAAGTTTTCAAGACAAAGAAATGCTCTCATTCCAAATCCTTCCTAATATGTGTACCAGACCAATGAGAGATGCTTTCTGGCCTTTTTCCCATTTTAGGTTGTTTTGTTGATTGCAGCTCCCAGTGAAGTCAGATAATTGTGAGGCAACCATTATCTTATTGGTCTATATCTAATGAAGACAAGAGTTGGAGTACTTGCTTAAGTCATGTAATTCCATTGGGTTAACCAAGGAAAGGCAGCCACAGTTGTGATCAAAGAACATCACATTGAATTGTTATGTGGCAGATGCGACACAAAATGCTTTCTATGTAACAGGAAGTCATTCCTCACATAGTCCATCAGATAGGTGTTGTGGTCCCCATGGTAAGTGTAAGGAAGTGAAGGCCCAGAGAACGGAATTGATTTGCCCAGTGTTGCCAGTTAAGTGACTCAAGTCTGGCTGCCTCCAAAGCTTGTGCCTACCACATTGGGTTGATTGCTCTTCACTAAGAGAAATTCCTACAAAGTCCTGTGGGAAGAAGGAACGAGATTAAGGTAACACCTGAGGCAGTGAGGGATATGGTTTCCTAAGTGGACCAAGTCATCCAGTTCTCCTTCCCAGATGGCCCTCCCCTGCTTTGGTAGAACAGCTGCTTAGGCTAGTGCAGCAGATAACATACGGCTGGGGATACAAGCCCTGGAAAATAGAGCCCGGGTTGGGAAGTGGCCTTTGCACCTCCCCGATGCTGTGTTGAGCGTGAGCAGAAGCTGAGGGAGTGGAGCCCTGGCTCAAGCAGCCACTCCTTGTACCAAATATGTCAGTACCTGTGACACCGCATAGAGTTGTCACGAGCACTCCCCTCTCAGTGTTCAGCTACTTGTACTGTTTCCTTTTTTTTTTTTTTTTTTTTTAGAACAGGCAGAGTTAGACAGTGAGAGAGAGAGACAGAGAGAAAGGTCTTCCTTCCGTTGGTTCACTCCCCAAATGGCCGCTACGGCCAGCACTGTGCCAGTCTGAAGCCAGGAGCCAGGTGCTTCTCCTGGTCTCCCTTGTGGGTGCAGGGCCTAAGCACTTGGGCCATCCTCCACTGCACTCCCGGGCCACAGCAGAGAGCTGGCCTGGAAGAGGAGCAACCGGGACAGAATCCGGCATCCCAAATGGGACTAGAACCCGGGATGCTGGCGCCGCAGGCGGAGGATTAGCCTAGTGAGCCTCAGCGCCGGCCTGTTTGTACTGTTAACCATAGAGAGCTCCACCAGAGAGCCCACATTACCTGGGAAGGGTTCTATGTGGAAGTGTGGCACACAGTGTTCTTCCTGAGGAAGAAGAAGGGGCCCTCCTCCTAGGGACTTTGCCCCATTGGTTGAGCTGTTTTCTCCTATGCCCCACTCTAGGATTATTAGAAAAAATAATTCTGGAAACGGGCTGCCATGTCAATGCCATTTCAGCAGATTGCTCACTACTTTTCATATTTCCAGAAGAGTAAAAATGAAAAAAAAAATCATCCATTTTAGCCAACTTTATTTTTAGAAAAGTGTTTTATTCAAACATCCCCTTACTTATTACAGACATAAATACATGCATTCAGACAAATGAATACACAGGAGAACCGTATAAAGTAATTGGCACATCACTTCAGGATGCTTTGTCAGTTACTGGAGGAATTTGGTGCCTGTAACTTTAATCTTTTCCATTAAAATATCCATTCTGCCTTCAGATTGTGAAGCCCATAATATTTTAGACTGTCTCCCTGGATCTGTTAGTTTTGCTTGTCAATTTAATTTGTGGCACTATGACTTCGAGTGGCTTGTTAGATTGAACATGGAGGCATGTGATCTGCAAATGATGTTCGACCCACCAGGCTTGAGCCCTAGCCTCTCCCCGGAGAGACTGGACATACCAGGAAGATGGAGTTGGCACATTTCCTTTGCAGCCAGCCTCATTGTGGTGGTGATGATGGTGATCTATGGAATGGCAGCCATTGAGAGTGGCAGAGAAGCTCATTACTGTTGTTATTATATACCTTGAGTGTCTACAGCTCATTATACTCTTTGCAGCACTTTTTATATGCCCCATCTCATTTGATTCTCAGAGCTTTCCTTGTGCTAGATTATTATCCCCCTCTTTCTAGTTAATGAAACCGAGACACACAGAGTTTCAGTAACTTGCCTGAGATCACAGGGTAAATTGGATTTCAAAAAATGCCAGAGGACAAGAGCAAATGTATTCCAAAGCCAGCCAGGTCACCAGAGCCCAGTCAAGGCGGTGTGTGTGGTGGTCTTTGCCACATAATTGCCATTTCCCCTGCCCTTCTCTGCAGAAAGGAGCTGTGGAGCCGTGCAGACAGAAGGGCTACAGGTGAGAGATTAAAAAGTCTGGGCCGGCGCTGTGGTGCAGCGGGTTAACACCCTGGCCTGAAGCACCGGCATCCCATATGGGCGCTGATTCGAGGCCAGGCTGCTCCACTTCCCATTCAGCTCTCTGCTATGGCCTGGGAAAGCAGTAGAAGATGCCCCAAGTCCTTGGGCCCCTGCACCTATGTGGGAGACCCACAGGAAGCTCCTGGCTCCTGGCTTCGGATTGGCGCAGCTCCGGCCATTGTGGCCATCTGGGGAGTGAACCAGCAGATGGAAGACCTCTCTCTCTCTCTGCCCCTCCTCTCTCTTGTAACTCTGACTTTCAAATAAAACAAATAAATCTAAAAAAAAAAAAAAAAAAAAAAAAAAAAAGTCCAAGAAGCAGGGGTAGGCATTTGGCCTAGGAGTTAATATGCCAGATACATCCCATGTCAGAGTGCCTGGGTTCGTGTACCGGCTCTGCTCCTGATCCGAGCTGCCTGCTGCTGTCCGCCCTGGGAAGCAGCACAGGGTGGCTCAACTGTTGGACCCCTGCTGACCAAGTGGGAGACCTGTATTGAGTTCCTGCCTCCCGGCTGTTGTAGTATTTAGGAAGGGGACCAACAGATGGGATCATCTCTCTGCCTCTCTCAAATAGGTAAAATTATTTTTTTCAACAGTTGAGGACTTTTAATTTGTCCTAAAGTGACTGAAGCAAAAATCATAATAAAACATTTGGTTTTCCTTTATAAGCCCAAATGCAAATAAAATGGGGGGGGGCACAAAAAACTGTAGGGAAAAATGGTTTTGTAAAAGGAGTGAAGCAATATGAATTCAGAGCTTAAAGAGAAGTGTTAGCTCTACCGCTCATCTCTAAAATGTTTATATGACTATCCAGCCAGCACCAACAGGGTTTCGCCCTTGAATGTTACCTTTACAGGTTTCCAAGTAAACTACAGGTCTGAAAATTAAAAAGAATCCAGGGGCCAACGCCGTGGCGCACTAGGTTAACCCTCCGCCAGCATCCCATATGGGCACCGGTTCTAGTCCCGGCTGCTCCTCTTCCAGTCCAGCTCTCTGCTGTGGCCCGGGAAGGCAGTGGAGGATGGCCCAAGTGCTTGGGCGCCTGCACCCGCATGGGAGGCCAGAAGGAAGAGCCTGGCTCCTGGCTTCGGATCGGCGCAGCTCCGGCCGATGCAGCCATTTGGGGAGTGAACCAACAGAGGGAAGACCTTTCTCTCTGTCTCTCTCACTGTCTGTGACTCTACCTGTCAAATAAATGAATAAAAATCTTAAAAAAAAAAAAAAAAAAGAATCCGAGAACCAGAAACTGTGTCATCAGCTCCACACCTCTCCGGGCTGTGTGTGGGCCACGGCGGCAGCCCCACCCCCCCTCACCCCCCACCCCCCACCCCGGCCTCCCTCCTTTGGGGCACCTTCACAGCTCCCAGGCCGCCTGTCCCAGAGGGCTCTTCCTGAGATACCGGTCTGAGCACGTCTGCCCAGCCATCACCGGCTCCCGCTACTGGAGACTTCAGACTCCCCCGCGTGGCCCTCCCTTCCCACTCCCCACTCCATTGTCGCGCACGCTGAGTTCTGAGCCTTGCGGACCCACTCCCATTCACTCCCACCCTCCTTGGGTGCTGCTTGCTCTGCTTAGGACACGCGGGTGTTGAACTCCTGCAGTGCGACCTTCTGTCCCCTCCTCAAGGCCCCAGCGGCAGTCCTCCCTCCCCTGCATGCCCACAGCACTCTGCCCAGCCCTGTTTCCCGTGTAACTTCTGCCCAGCGTGGTCTCTCCCAGGATGCGTCAGGCTCCCTAGGGGCAGACGTCGTGGTACATGGCTGGACTCTCCTATCTCCTCACTGTGGAATCTTTAAGAGAAAGGTTGACTATGGACGTGTAGGAGTGAGTGAGTGAGTGAGTGAGTGAGCGAAGAATGAGAACACAGCCTGAGCCAGCAGGACGTTTGACATTCCAAGGCCACGTGAAATGTGGCCCATTCCTCGCTCTCAGGGCTGTTGGCCGCCGTGGCATGACCTCTTAGGTGAAATGAGAGGTGGGTGGGAAGGTGAACTGGGCCTTTGCCTGGTACCCAGAGAGGAAAGCCTGTCAGGGTCGAGAGGCGGACACTGATGCTCTGACTTCCGCCCACCCCCAAGTTTCCCTCAGAAGCCTTTGATGGTGGAAATGCTTCCTTGGAGAGCTGGGGGCTTTGCCAAGGGTTCCCACAGGCAGCACTGTTGGCTTCCAGAGGCAAAGCTGTTTGTCTGGGAAGAGCCCTCATGGCCGTTAGCAAGATGGGGTGGGTTAGGGGTCAGAAGGTGGGGTTATTAAAGGCTTGGAGTTAGGGGAGCTCCGGGGCGAGGCATCCCAGGCTTCATGTGGCCATGTCTTGCAGATGATGTCCGTGCTCATGAATACCATTGTCTTCGAAGACTGTCGGAACCAGTGGTCGGTGTCCAGGCCTCTCCTGGCGCTCATTCTGCTCGACGAGAAGGTAAGAGTGGGAACCGGGAGGTCCACAGGAGGAAAGAGAAGCCGTGCCCCGAGCTGAGCTGTGGCAGTGGAGGACACAGGAGCAGAGCTGGCTGTGTTTCAGCCGGGACATTGCCCGCTCTGGGGCAGGGCTGCCTTGTCCCGCAGAAGGCTGGTCTTCAGTCGCACAGTCCTCCAGAGTGGCTCTTCGGGAACCCAGAGAGAGCCCTGGTGCGAGAGGGAGGCTGGTTTGCTCAGGAGGACCCTCTCTTCCCTTCCCCATTCCGGGGGGATTCCAAGCCACAACCATTTGCCTCTTCCCTTTGCCTCCTTTTATAGCCTGGACCTCCACTGCCCTAGATGGTGGCGGCAGTAGCCCATCAGGGACTCCTCCACCGAGCCAGCACCCTTCCTGTAGGGAGTGCACGACTCCAGCTCCTTAGGTGTGCTTGCCAGCCTGGACTTCCTCCCAGGCCTCCCCTGCTCCCTCCGCAACCCACCCTGCCTCCCCAGCAGTCAGCAGGAACAGTGCATTACTGCTTGGGAGAATGAATTGTCTATACAATAAGATAGTACTGGGGAAAAAGACAGTGAGATTAGAGGCAGCCGCATACATTAAAATTCAAACGAAAATCCCAGCCTTGGAAGGAAACTAATAGAAGAAGAAAATATATCAAAAAGAGAAGAGCTGTCTCATCACTCACCTGTGCTGAAGTATCCAATTTTAGCCACATTCAATAGCACTGTCATTCATCTTCCCTCAGTGTTATTGTGATTTAAATCCAAGCTCTATAAAAGAGAGCAGTTCTTTTAAAATGATTGAGAGGGAATAAGGGCAAATTCAGTGTTTAGAAAAAGCTTATGACATCACAATATTATACTTTACTGATGGAGGCAATATTTCATGGTTTGGGATGAAAAACTAATAATTTTCTATTTGGTGTGAGTCACTGCATCATTATAAAAGGGAAAAATAAGTAGTTTTGTGCATTCCCAGTCTTGTTCAGGAAGACACTGTGGCTTAAGTGTAATGCCTCTGATATATAGTAGTTAAGTATTAGTCTGACTACATATTAATTATGTGTGTTTTTTGATGTGAGCTGTTTTAATGTATGATGGAAATTAAATATCAGGCTGTTTGGGCTTGGAAGGATAAACACCAGGCTGGCAAAATGTTGTCTTTGTGCTGAAATTAGGCTGTTTCCAGTGATGAGGAGCTAGCTTAGCATCAGAGCCCAGCAGAGGAGAAGGCACTGTGCAGTTGTTTGTGACCAGGCGTGACAGCTGATTTCCTTGGTGTCAGAAAGCTCTCCCAGAACCAAGCAAGCCCCTCCAGTCCCCGCCTCAGAGCAGACCCATTCCAGCTCACGAAGACAGAGACTTGGAACGCAGCCCAGAATTGCTTGCCGACTGGCTCGCTGAAGCCAGGGAAGATGCTGAAGCACGAGGGAGCCCCCAGGCCTTGCCTTCAGTCACCCAAGGGGCTCCCTGGGCGAGTTTCGTTAAGTGCTTCCCCTCGGCCTGCGGGGCCCTCCCTCTTCCAGCCTTGCTGTGACTAGTGGAGGTGAGAGCCAGGGAGACCATGCGTTCAGGGCCCCACCGAGGAGGCAAGGACGCCATCAGCCCAAACAGTGGCAACAGGACAGTTACAGCGAGAGATTTTTTTGGAAAGGGATAATTCAATTTATGCCTGGGAATATCTCTTGCTTGGGTTTTCTCTAAGAGCTTACGGGTCAACAATGTGGATCTGGACAAAAATCCCCCTGAGCGAGGCCTGAGTAGATTGGAGCTGCTCCTGCCCTGTCTGCCACAGCGTCCTCTAGGCCAGGGTTGGAGTCAGAGCTCTGATGCCTTCTGTCTCCCAACAGTATTTCAGTGAACTGAGAGCAAGCCTGATAAACAGCCAGTCACTCCCCAAGCAGGAGGTCCTTGCCCAGTGCTTCAGGAATCTGATGGAAGGAGTGGAGCAGAACCTGTCTGTCAAGAACAGAGACAGGTGAGCATTGCCTAGTGGGGCATCTCTGGGGTGCTGAACTTGGCCACTTTGCTGAGAATAACTGGATTGTGCTTAACACGGCCCACACATGGATGTGGCTCTTCTGTTACACACATCCTGGGACCCTGGACTCACATCGGTTGCATTCAGTGATTATTATGGGATATTTGCTTTCTTCCAGGCAAAATGCTAGCACTGTCCAGGCACGCAGGGATTGCTGAAATGCAGCCTTTGCCCTATGGAATTTACAGTTTAGGAGGCGAGAGAATTGTAATGGAAAGGATCAAAAGAGGGGAAGCTCAGACCTGCTGCAGAAGACGGACGAGGAGAGACTGTGGCATTTGGACAAGATCAGGCTTTGCAGGCAGCAGACCCAGCTGCGTTTCTGCCCGCGCCCTGTGTGTGTGGCAGCAGGGCAGTTAGCTACGGTGCTCCTCATTGTCTTCACCAGCAAAGTGGGGATGATGACAGTGGGTCGTGAGTGTTTAAATGACAGTTGTAGCCGGCGCCGCGGCTCACTAGGCTAATCCTCCGCCTAGCGGCGTCGGCACACCGGGTTCTAGTCCCGGTCGGGGCGCCGGATTCTGTCCCGGTTGTCCCTCTTCCAGGCCAGCTCTCTGCTGTGGCCAGGGAGGGCAGTGGAGGATGGCCCAGGTGCTTGGGCCCTGCACCCCATGGGAGACCAGGAAAAGCACCTGGCTCCTGGCTCCTGCCATCGGATCAGCGCGGTGCGCCGGCTGCAACGCGCCGGCCGCGGCGGCCATTGGAGGGTGAACCAACGGCAAAAGGAAGACCTTTCTCTCTGTCTCTCTCTCACTGTCCACTCTGCCTGTCAAAAAAATAAATAAATAAATAAATAAATAAATAAATAAAAATAAAATAAAATAAATAAATGACAGTTGTGGGGAAGCAGGGCACCTGGGACAGGTGGCCCACAGTAGGTGTTAACTGCTTCCTGTGCACATCCTTTACTGTTGCAGTTGCCAGGAAGATGTAAGTGACAGGAACCCTATCTTACCAGCCAGGCCTGAACTCAGTCATTGCGGTCACAAAACTTACATGCAGACATTGGATTGGTCAAGGCTCCTGCCCTCATGTGGTTTACATTCTAATGGAGGATGCAGACATCAGTGAATATCAGAGAAGGAAAAGCTGCCTGCATCATCCTTTTATAAATGTGGGCAGGGGCCGGTGCAATGGCTCACTTGGCTTATCCTCCGCTTGCGGCACTGGCACCCCAGGTTCTAGTCCCGGTTGCTCCTCTTCCAGTCCAGCTCTCTGCTGTGGCCAGGGAGTGCAGTGGAGGATGGCCCAAGTGCTTGGGCCCTGCACCCCATGGGAGACCAGGAGAAGCACCTGGTTCCTGGCTTTGGATCAGCGCGGTGTGCTGGCCGCAGCGCGCTGGCCACGGCAGCCACTGGAGGGTGAACCAACGGCAAAGGAAGACCTTTCTCTCTGTCTCTCTCTCTCACTGTCCACTCTGCCTGTCAAAAAAAAAAAAAAAAAAAAAAATGTGGGCAAGCATTTGCAATGCAAATCCTCAGTCATCCCAATTGCCACACTGTGTCCTGGAGTCAGCAGCCCGGGCTGTGGTAATCCGAGGCCATGGCCTCTGAAGACATGTTCATTGCACTCTCTCATAGTCCTCTGTCCGGCAGAAAGGGGCAACCCTGGAAGTCTGCAGAGGAGAGTTGAAGAATGCGGAGCAACACGGGGGCGGGGGTGGGGGCTCACCTGAGGCTCAGAAAGTTGAGTGTCCCGCCTGCACTGCTCCGTGAAATGGTGCAAGGCAGTCCTCCCAGCTTAATAAGGACAAAAGCCAGCAAGGACTGACCGTTCTCTTTGTGCCAGGCACTGTCTCAGCTGATGCAGTGAATTCTCACTTCCTACAGTCCTTGGAGGTAGCTACTCGTGTTAGGCGCTAAGGCAAGAGGTCAAGGATTCATCAGAGTGGCCTAGCTAGGAAGCGGTAGAGGCAGCCCAACCAGTGCCCTCTCCTTCCAACCGCTAAGTGCAGTTTTCTCGTCAGTAAAATGAGGATGCTGCTGCCCACTTTCGGGGAGGCTTGCGATGATAAATGAGTTTATATGTCAACTGAATCAGTGCTTGGCACATACATTTCGGCTGTTTTCTTTATACTCCTTACCATCTACGTGTAATTGGACTTTTAAAGAAAATGTTTTCAACTTTAGAAGTACAAAATGTAGCCCTCAGTATGGGCAGGGTGGAGCTGGTGGCAGCCCTTGTTTTCTGGGGAGCAGGGGTGGGCGGTGCTGGTGGGGAAACGGTCATTGGCCGGGAAAGAGCTCAGCTGCCCCCTGGAGCCTCCCTCCAAGCCAGGTCCTCTCCAAGGTCCTGAACTCCTCAGTGGCCGTCTCGTCCAGAGGTTCAGATGCACGGGGACCCACTGCTTCCCTTCCGTTCTCTCTCCGTAGGTTCACCCAGAACCTCTCTGTCTTCAGAAGAGATGTGGCAGAGGCCCTGCGCTGTGACGGCAGCACTGAACCCTGCAGCCTGGACATGATGAGCTGACCCGAGCCAATCAGCCTTCATCAGGAGACTCTTGGTGGGCCGGGTCTCAGGACAGTGACGTTGGCTAGCCCCGGAAAAATCTATTTTTCAAGCAAATAACAGCAAAAGCCCTATCTTTTTATAAGTCTGGCCTAATTATAAGAATGTATAATAGTGCACAATGTAAATTCAGTCCATGCTCTGAAAAAGCGTAAGATGTGTTTCAGTCTTTCTACCAGATATCATTTTCTTTGTTCTCCAAACGCTCTGAAAGGATGTAAAAACAGTATTTAACCAAAGAACGTAATAAACCGGGTTTGCGCCCACGTGTGCACTAGTTAATGGGCCTGCAATCAGGTTGTCAATTTGTTGGAGATGCAGCCTTCAACATGGATCCTGAATTGAGACAAATGCCAGTTGAACCTGTTACATCAGTAGTGGGTTTCGAGTTTGGAAGAAGCAGTGTTGGGGACTCTGGGCTGTGGGCATTTAGAACAAGCCTGGGAGCGCTGCAGAACCTCCCACAGGACCACACACAGGCCTCTCTGTCTCAGCACCATCTGATAAAGTTGAGAGACAGTAACACAATTAAATGACTTACAAACGACGTTTGCTTTTCGCTGGCATAAATCTGAAGTGGTTCAGTCTAGAAGAATTAAGCTGTGCAATTACTGCCTGCAGAGAGATTGCTTCAGAGCCATGTAGCGCCAGGAAGAAGTGCTGGGTAGTGCCAGCACCCAGTCCTTCTACCTGCGTGGAATTTGTAAGAGAAGATGAAGATAACTAATTAAAACACAGTGTTTGAAGCATCTCTTTCTTCCTTGGCTACCCTAAGTATACAGTTCTAGGTGCTAATTCAGGAGCAGCCGGTTTCCACCTCGCCACAGCCCTTAGTACCCCTGGGGTTGGCCCTCACCCATCCCAGGACGGGAAGGTTGTGAGAAACACTGGCACCAGGCTACCGATCTGAGGTTGCCACTGTCAACAGGCTGTCACCCCAGGGCTCTGCCTTCAAGGTTCAGACTTATAGTAAAGATGATACCCTTTCTTTCCGATAAGACATGAGAGATTGGCCTTACTTTGAACAACAGGCTCCTGTTATAACTCATTTCTCAGACTAGTGTTTTCTTGAAATTTTTCTTGCAACTCTGAAAGCAGAGTCACCACGTTTATGTAGAAATGTTGCTCTCCCATGTGTGAGGAAAACCACAGGAAATGTGTTGCAGATGGGATTCCTTCTAGTAGTTCAAACATAAGTGAGCCATGGCCTTATACTTTATTTCATTAGCAATTAAAAATACAGGGGCCAGCGCAGCAGCATAGTAGGCTAAGCCTCCACCTGCAGTGCCAGCATTCCATATGGGCACTGGTTCGAGTCCTGGCTTCTCTTCTGATCCAGCTCTCTGCTATGGCCTAGGAAAGCAGTAGAAGATGGTTCAAGTCCTTGGGCCACTGCACCCACGTGGGAGACCCAGAAGAAGCTCCTGGCTCCTGGCTTTGGATCTGCTCAGCTCTGGCCGCTGCGGCCATTTGAGGAGTGCATCAGTGGATGGAAAACCTCTCTCTCTCTCTCTCTCTCTCTCTCTCTCTCTGCCTCTGCCTCTCCCTCTTTCTGTCTGTAACTCTACCTCTCAAATAAATAAAGATATCATTAAAAAATTAAAAATACAGTTTTCCTTGTGAAGGCAAATCCTGAACTCTGTAAAACAGCAGCTGGTAGAGAAGTCTAGCGAGAATCTTGGTTTCTCGGCAGATTCTAACTGCACAGTCATTCCACAGAAACGCGTCATAGAAGGCTTACCCCGTCTGGCACTGTTCTCTCCCGCTCTGTCGAGGCTCGGCAAGCACCACACTGTTTCATTACTATGTTCACAGGAAGATGACGGTGTGCACGCGCTTCCCTCCGTGACACTGCGGAGGTCACACGGTGCTCTCACGCCAGCCTGGGAGCCTTGGGCAGTGCTCTCAGAGCCGGCTGCTCGGGCCTGCGCCCCTCTCTCTTCCTCAGCACCTGCTCCGTGGTGCTGGACTTAGTACGCTGCGCGGCGGAAGTGTAGGCCAGAGGACAGGCTAGGCAAATATTCACTGAGTATCTCCAACACCCTCTGTGCTGTGTCACCCTTCGTCCTCACAACGGCCCTGCGGAAGTGGACAGCTGTCGTCCCACGTGGCTGATGAGGACGCGAAGGCAGGATCTGAACTTGGATCTGTGCTGTTTTTCAGCATGGTGAGTTGAAATCAGTTAACACCTGTTAGGTCCATTTCCATCTGTTTTTCAGAACTCTTGTTACATAACAAACTACCCCAAAACTTTGTGGCCTCAATGAACATTTATTACCTCATCGTTCCTGAAGGTCAGGAGGCCAGGGCTGGGTCCTCTGTTAGAGTCTCTCACAGGCAGCAGGCAGGGTTATTGGCCAGAGCTGTGATCATTTCGAGACTTGACTGGAGGGGCCAGCACCGTTGATGCCGGCATCCCATATGGGCGCTGGTTCGAGTCCCAGCTGCTCGTCTTCCAATCTAGCTCCCTGCTAATGTGCCTAGGAAAGCAGCGGAGGATGGCCCGAGTGCTTGGGCCCCTGCGCCCACCTGGGAGACGAGAAAAAGCTCCAGGCTCCTGGCTTTGGCCTGGCCCCACCCCAGCCATATCAGCCATTCAGGGAATGAACCAGTGAATGGAAGATATCTCTCTCTCTCTCTCTCTCTCTAGCTGACTTTCAAATAAATAAATCTTTTTTTTTTTTTTGACAGAGTGGACAGTGAGAGAGAGAGAGACAGAGAGAAAGGTCTTCCTTTTGCCATTGGTTCACCCTCCAATGGCCACTGCGGCCGGCACATCGCGCTGATCCGAAGCCAGGAGCCAGGTGCTTATCCTGGTCTCCCATGCGGGTGCAGGGCCCAAGGACTTGGGCCATCCCCCACTGCACTCCCAGGCCACAGCAGAGAGCTGGCCTGGAAGAGGGGCAATCGGGACAGAATCTGGTGCCCCGACCGGGACTAGAACCCGGTGTGCCGGTGCTGCAGGTGGAGGATTAGCCTATTGAGCCACAGCGCCGGCCCCAAATAAATAAATCTTTAAAAAAAAAAAAAAAAAAGACTTGGCTGGGGAAGGACCTACATTCGCGCTCCCTCGTGGTTATCTGCGGGACTCAGTTTCTCCAGGATTGTTGCCTGAGTTCCTGGCCCGGTGGCCTTCTTCACAGGCGGCTCCCAGCATGGCATCTTGCTCCACCGGAGAGTAGCCAGAGCAAGTGCAGCAGGCTGGAAGTCGCGGTGGTATGTAGCCTTGTCTGGGGACGAGGGAACATCTCCCATCACTCCTGCCGTATCATGTTCCCTGGAAGGACACCACTAGGACTAGGTGTCTACCAGGAAGCAGGGAAAGCCGTCAGCCACAGCTCAGTCCTCTGGCCTTTGCTGCCCGGGTTGGCTTTGGGCTACAGGTTCCTCCTGTAAACCTGATCTCCTTGAGAGGGCCCAGTTCCCTTCCGAGCCCTTCCCGAGGGAGGGAGAGGAGAAGGGGAAGCTGGGGTGTTGAGGGAGCACGCTCCACTGCACGCTTAGCCCACAACAGCCAAGATCCCAATTAGGGGCTCTGTTGCCTGGAGAATCGCCTTGGCGCTGGGAGACCTGGAGCCGTGGGTGGGAGTGGTCTCTAAGGAGACATCCAATCCCAAGGACACAGGCACGCGAGGACACACCCAAACCTGTGCAGGTGTCATGTGACCCAGCCCCATCACAAATGTGCCTGACTTTGATATTCACCAAGAGGGGAAAATCCACAAGGCTTAACAAGCACAAGCCCTGAGCCACCTGTGGGCCCATCTGCACACCCCGCTCTGACTGGATGCAGGAGCATAGATACGCGTCCCCGCATGCAGCGTGGCCTCGGCCACCCGCTCCAGCCCATGCTCAAGCAAGAGACCTGGTGAAGGGATTCAGGCTCCATTTGCGCCCTCCACACTGAGTGCAGAACCTCTCCCCAGGGAACGCTGCACTCTGTTCTCCACCCAGGATGCTGGAGGGCCGGCCGGCCTGGGGGACCTGTACCTGGACGTGAGCTGGCCAGCAGGTTAGGAAGCAGCGTGTGAGAGAACTTGCTCCCTAAGGAGGAAAAGGAGCACCTGGGGGCGGGGCCGGGGGTGGGCGGAGGGGGCAGCGGGGCCGCCTGGCTGGCCCGTGACCCATGGGCTGTATAAGACCTGTGAAATCCTTTGCTCTGGCCCTGCCAAGGCACCACAGGGACTGGAAATGCAGTGAATCCCTAGCGGGCTGGTTGTGAAGCTGATCATTTTGTGAGGCCTGCAAACTATATTATAAATACACAAATGGCCCTTGGCAGATAAAAGGTTCCCCTGACTTGGACAAGCAAGAGTCCCAAGACAAACACAAACCCATGAGAACTGCTAGCATTCATTGAGTGCCCGCTCAGCATTGCAAATTGCTACCTTGCCTAATGCTTCCCAACAGGAATATCAAGTATTGTTGTCCCCATTTACAGTTGAGAACAGGGAGACAAGGGGCAGGTGTTTGGCCTAGCCGTTAAGACATCTACAGCCCAAATCAGAGTGCTGGTTTTCAGTTCCCAGCTCCGGCTCCTGACTCTGGCTTCCCACTTCTGTAGACCCTTGGAGACAGCAGATGACCCAGTGATTGGTTCCTGCCACTCATGTGGGAGACCTGGATAGGGTTCCGGGCCCCTGGCTTCATCCCAGTGCAGTGTTGTGGGCATTTGGGCAGTGAATCAGTGGATGGGAGCTCTCTCTGTCTCCCTGTCTCTCAAATAAATATTAAAAAAAATAAATAAAAATAAAAAGGCCAAGCACAAAGCCTGAAAGTGGACAAGCCAGTATTCAAAAGCAGGCAGGTCTGTCTGACTCCCACGCTCATGTGTCCCTTCTACTACAATCCGGAGCCTTGGGGCTGCCCAGCTGGCTGTGGGGGACAGCTGGGAGGGGGAGTGGGTATGGAACCCTCTGGGACCCCCCGATGACACTAGGCATGCCCAAAGAAAAGCCACTCCAGGACCTGGGCTCTTTGCGCTGTGTCTGTGGGTTCTGCCACTGATCCATCCTCCTTCCTGAACTTTATAAAATCATTCCTGAGACTTCTTAATGTTTTATTGAGGCACAAGTTTACGATGACAGCAAACCTTTCAAACTACAGCAAGAGTAACCTGCTCCTTGGCATATTAAAAAATAATGTTAGTGTCGGTTTTTACGTCCCATAGTTTGGATTGCTGATAAGAGCGCTTCCTTGACAAGATTCTTTTTGAGGTTTACAGAAAGCGTAATAAAATATGTAAGTTACATTTCCACAAACAAAAGCTATAACATAAGTTATTTATAAGCGTGAGATACAAACAGTATCATGATAAATAAACCATAAAGGGTACCTGCAACATCCATCTTAATGTAATTTGCCCAACAAAAGTGTTGAAACGAAGTCAAATTTAGTAGAGAAATTTGTCAGGAAGGGAGGAAAGTTGTACAGCACAAATGGGAACCGTGGCGGTGGGAGGGAGAGGAGCCCACGGAGGAGTGAGGTGGGGTTTGGAGGTCCCGCATCCCATGAGCCTACATGCAGAGACCAGGCCCTGCTCCCCTGCCCACACTGCCATCTGCACACGGGCACTGCCCACGCAGCCCTCTGAGGTCTCCACTGGTGTCCCGCATGGAGAGATGAGCCTCCCACCCCACTCCGGCCCCTTCCTTCCTCCCGACCTCTAATCCCCAGCCCTGGGCTCAGCTTCTCCCCCTCCCCCAGCGACGGCTGGGGCTCTCATCAAGGCCAGAGCCTGGGTCTGACCCAGCTGCAGGATCCTAAGATCTTTCATTCACCTGCCACGGATGAACCAGTGCTGTGATGGAGACAAAGCCTCTGCCCTGCGGGGGCGAGCAGGAAACCAAGGTGGGGTCCGAGGACAGCAAAGTAAAGAAACAGGGATGGAGAATGACTGGGGAGGGGGTGCTGCCTCAGAGGACCTGCAGAGGGGTGAAGCGGAGCCAGGTGTCACAGGAAGCAAAGGCGCAGGCGGTGCATGGCCAGTGTGGTGGGGGTGGGGGTGGGGGTGGGGCGCCACCAGCATCCCATATGAGTGCAGGTGGTATCCTGGCTGCTCCACTTCCCATCCAGCTCCCTACTAATGGCCTGGGAAAGCAGTGGAAGGTGACCCAAGTGCTTGGGCCCCTGCACCTATGTGGGAGACCTGGATGAAGTTCCTGGCTCCTGGCTTCAGCCTGACCCAGCACTAGCAGTTGAGGCCATCTGGGGAGTGAATGAGCGGATGGAAGATCTCTCTGTGTGTCTCTCACTCTCTGTAACTCTGCCTTTCAAGTAAATAAATAAATGGTTTTTTTAAAAAAAAGGGGGGGACAGGCAGCACAAAGAGCTGGGGGAGGCACATGCTGACGGCGTAAATTCCTGGGCCCCGGAGCTGACCGCATCTTCCGTGGCCCTCACCCAGCCTCACTGCGTGTATGTCGTTCTGTTTCATACCACAAACTCCAGGATTATCCTCGGGGCTGGGGAGGGGGGAGGCAGGCGCTGGGCCCAGCCCCAGGCCACCGTTCTGCTCTAAGGAGCTCCCAGGCCAGCTGGGAGCGAGCCAGTGTGCAGCCCACTCCCACACTCTTTCACCAGGACCCTCCAGGATTTCGCCTCCCCATTCAGTGCTGTGGCTGAGAATCCCGACTACCTGTTCCCAGGGTAGAAACAGTGGGCTTTGCAGCCTACACGGTCCTCGGTCCGGATGCCAGCTCTGTTCCTTCCTGGCTGCACGTGCTTGGACAGGGGACATCACTTCTCTAAGCCAACTGTCCTGGAAGCCATGTGACACTGCGGGGGGGAGGTGAACCCCAGGAGCACCCAGCACCCAATGGCCTTGTCCTTCCTCAGTAGACACTTTCAGCCCTCCCCATGGCGGAGACAATGCGGAAGAGCTCACACCACACTGCCCCCATTGCCAGAGGGGCACACGGAGCCCTGGAGCTGGGCTGTGGTCCAGGAAAGGTGTATGGATGTTGAGTAAATATTTGCTGAATAAATAAATGAATGGGTGAAGAGATGGGAGCAGCTGCCTCAGAGCCATCCACTGCACCCTGAGACCCTGCAAGGCCCTGGAGACTCCTAAGTAGGGCGTGTGATCCAAAAATGATGAGCGACCTGTGACAGTGCATGTACCAAATTAGGGATTTGCCTTTATTAGACCTAATATTTTCATTAGTCTTTCAAACAGAGTAGCCCACCCAAATGTAGTTAAGATTCCTGATTCCATTTCTGCACCGTTTTTATTTTTTAAGATTTATATATTTATTTGAAAGAGTTACAGAGAGTGAGAGGCAGAGGCAGGGAGGGAGAGAGAGAGACAGGGGGAGGGGGAATTCCATCCACTGGTTCACTCCCCAAATGACTACAACAGCCAGGACTAGGCCAAGCTGAAGCCAGGAGCTTCCTCCAGGTCTCCCACATGGGTGCAGTGGCCCAAACACTCGGGCCATCCTCAGCTGCTTTCCCAGGTGCATTAGCAGGGAGCTAGATTAGAAGTGGAGCAGCCAGGACACCAGCCAGGACACCAGGATGTGGGCATTGCAGGCAATAGCTTTCCCTGCTACACCACAGTGCCGGTCGCTCTACCCCATTTTTACAGCACTGGGAAATTAAAATCCCCAAGGCACCACCTAGGAAGCCAGTGGCAGAGTGAGCCTCCTGCGTTTGGGCTCAGGGACCAGTTGGAGGTTGTGGCATCCTGCCTCTCGGAAGCCCCGCCCTCTCCTACAGACTCCCAGAGGCGCTGGCTCCACCAGCTTTTCTCCCAGTTTCTCCATAGGGAGGAGTAGAGGGTATGTGCACATCCAGGAAGTTTTTCTTAGATTTCTCATTTTCTAATCTGGCGCGCTCTCTCTCTCTCTCTGTGTGTGTGTGTGTGTGTGTGTGTGTGTCATTGTTCGATTGGTAGCAGCTAAAAAGGAGTGGCAAAAAAAAAAAACATTATATTCTCAGGAACAGCAAATACATATCAAAATATGTTTAGCCAAAACAGTGCTCACAAGAAAATGTATGACCTCGAATCCATTTATTTTAAAAAGGGAAACATCGACAAATGAGCTAAGTTTTCATCTCAACAAAGAAGGAACTACTAAAAATAAAACTGAGACATTCCTGAAAAGGGGCATAAAAAAAGAGTATCCGCAAGTCAAAGGTTATTTTTCTTTTAAAGAGAGATAACACAGACAAACCTCGGGCAAGAACTGAGCAAGAGAAGGCAGAGAGGCGGATGGGAAGCCAAGCACAGGGATTCAGCGCGGACCCCAAGAGCCTCTCCCCCACAACGCGCAACAGGAAATGCGAAAACTTGGACCAAAGGGGAAGACCCTGGCCACTGGTTTCCGAACTTGAGCCTGCATTAGCACAGACTGCCGAGCCCTACCCAAGTCTCTGATTCAGTAGCTCTGGGCTAGGGTCCAAGAACTTGCATTTCTAACAAATTCCCAGCGATGCTGGCGCTGCTGGTTGGGGAACACACACTGGGAACCACGGTCCTCGGAGCTGCTCCCGCCTCCATTGATGGCCCTTGCTCGGCAGCCTATGAGCTCGTGAGCTGGGGCACAAAGCCGAGACACCCAGGCCCTCCCTCAGGAAGCCAGGGCCCCAGCAGGGAGGCAGAGCCCTTGACACTGGTGAACACGAGGGTGGTGTTTTTACTAGAAGGGAAACTGAGGCAGAAAGATGAACACTTCCTAGCCCACAGCCGGTAAACTGAGGAAGGGATGGAGATCTTCTGCACACGCCGTGGCCACACCACCGGCACCGTTTGAACCCCACACCCGCACCTCGCTGGCGTGGGCCTTCCCTCTCCCACTTGAGCCGCGCAGAGAAGTGGCAAGGTCGGGCCTGGCATCCAGGACTCTGGGAGGCAGCAGGGGCGTGGGGCCGGGGAGGTGCCAGCGCTAGCCCCTGGGCATGTGCGTGTGTGTGTGTGTTTGTGTGTGAATCACTCAGACTCCGAACCTCAGTTCCCTCTTCAGCCAAACACCGGGGTCACCAATGACCCTTCCGCCGCGGGGCTCTGGGGAAGCGTGCAGCCCCTTCCTGGCACACGCAAAGTTCTCAGGCCCGCAGCTTGATGGCTGCCGTTAAAGTTATGATTACATAATGGCCCGAGTGTCTCACTGCCACGTCCACAGATGTCATCTCACTCAGCTCTCACAGGGGTAGCTGTTGCCCTTTCTGTTTTACAAATAAGTGAGGGACCCAGCAGCCCCCAGACTGCCAGGGGCACAGGCTGAATTAAGAAGCAGGAGGCGCCCCACTGACGGGCCTGGGCCTGGAGGCAGTGGGGCGTGCTTGCCCCAAAGGCTCCTCGCTTCTCTCTGCCTCAGGCCTGGCTCTCCCCACCCAACACAGAGCTTCCCAAAGGGCCAGCCTCTTGCCCAAGGTCACAGAGCCCAGCCTGGAGGCCTCTGGTCTCTTGGAAGCAGGGCAGAAGAAGCAGCACCTCTGAAACTCACTGCCTTTCTCTCCAAGACATGGAGCCCGCCGGCCCATAAAATAAAGCTGCAAACAAAATCAACAAGAATCGTAACACTAATGCATCAACCATCTCTCTCTAGGCGTGCGGGGAAGGGAGCCACAGCCCAGCGCTACCGTGTGCCCAGCCTGGTTCTCACTCGCGGCTCCCGGCCAACCCGCCCCGTGCACGCATTACTCTGCATTTTACAAAGAACACCAACGCGTGAAGAGACGGAGTCACTCGCTCAAGGTCACTCAGCCAGGAGAGCCACTGGCCCAAATCTAAAGTCACTTCTGGCCAACAGTACACCAGAGCCCTCGCCGCTGTGGGCACGACAGAGCGCGCCAGGAGAGGCCTGGCCCTGGGTGCAGCCCTCAGAGTTTAACACCTAACGACTTTAAAATGAGCCGGGAGCGAACCCGGCTCTGCCTCCCGCAGGCTGGCGCCGAAGGTGCCCGCTTCGCGTGCGCTCTGGCCTCGGGGCCCGGGCCTGCTTGGGCAGTCTCCGAGGGCGCGAAACGCCCAGGTCGGACTGGAACCAGGAGGGGCTCAGTGCTCACGATTCCCAGAGAAATCCCGCTATTTGCCCCCAACAGGAGTCGTCCTCTCTTTTGCCATCCCAGCAACCCGAGGTCCCGAGACCTTCCGAGCCTCAGGAGGCCCCCCACCGCGCGACCCCTGCCCCGTCCATCCTGCAACGAATTTCCAAGGGCGATATCCCCGCTCCCCGCCGGGGGACCCGGGGTCCCTTGCCAGGGTTGGCCAGGCACGCGTGGGCACCTGCAGACTCCCGCCTCGGGCCGCCCGGCCCGAACCAGGGAGCGTCTCCAAAGTGGCCACGACGCCGCGGCCGAAGCGTGAGCAGGGCGAATTCTCCCCACGCGGGTCGGTGTCCTCCGGAGCGCGCAGAAAGCCACGGCGCTCCCCTCACCCGGGGCGCAGGGAGTGCGGACCTTGCGCCCTGGAGTGCGCCCGATTCGTTGCTCCTTCGGCGGCGAATTCTCCGAGAGGCTTCCGCTGATTCCGCGGGAGTCGTTCCGGGGCCGCAACTCCGCTGTGGTTGACAGGATTCACTGGGTTCGGTTTTCGCGCGGAGGAAACATTTTGGAAGAAAACGAAAACCCCCTCTGCAAAAAGACAGTTTCGCGGGCGGAGCGTCCTGCCCGCCCCGCGCGGCGGCGGGGAAGCGGCCGGGGCCCGGGAGGAGCGGGGAGCGTCTGCTAATTGCAGCTTCGTTAGATTCCGGGTTTGGGAGGCTGCGGTTCGGGCGCTAATATCCGCCGCCCATTATCCCGGCTAATAAATTTGACCTATTGTTCGTTTGTTAAAATGATGTCACCTTGGAACAGTCCCTAAGCTCCTATTTCCATGAATTAGGCCTTTATTGAAAGCCAAGAGCCAATGAGAGGAGAGAGGCTTGTTGATCGCAGCCAATGGCTGCGGCGGGAGAGGAATTAGCAGCGGAAACTCCAGGTTCGGTTCAAGAAAGATGACACAGAGCCTGTCGGGCCCGCGCACTCTTGGCAAAGTTTCAGTGCGACGAGAGGCGCCGGGCGCTCCATGGCCGCGCCGTAACGGGGACCCAGCCGCCTCCCCGCCCAGCCCGGCCCAGCCCTTCCGCCCACCCAGGATGGAGGCGCCCGCCAGCGCGCAGACCCCGCACCCGCACGAGCCCATCAGCTTCGGCATCGACCAGATCCTCAACAGCCCGGACCAGGACAGCGCGCCCGCCCCGCGGGGCCCCGACGGCGCCAGCTACCTGGGAGGGCCCCCCGGGGGCCGTCCAGGCGCCACATACCCGTCGCTGCCCGCCTCCTTTGCCGGCCTCGGCGCGCCCTTCGAGGACGCGGGATCTTACAGTGTCAACCTAAGCCTAGCGCCCGCCGGAGTGATCCGGGTGCCGGCGCACAGGCCGCTGCCCGGGGCCGTGCCGCCGCCTCTGCCAAGCGCGCTGCCCGCCATGCCCTCCGTGCCCACAGTCTCCAGTCTGGGCGGCCTCAACTTCCCCTGGATGGAGAGCAGCCGCCGCTTCGTGAAAGACCGCTTCACAGGTGAGCCCAGCGGGCCAACAGGCACCAGGCCTCAGCCCTCCGGGGGGCCAGGGGCGCCGCGCCCTGTGCGCTCCACCCCCCGGAAACGAATCCGGAGGCCCTAGCGCGGCGGAGGCCTTGGCGCCCAGGGCCCCAGGCAGAGGTAGAGGGGAGGGGAAGCGACGAGTTGCGGGAAAAGAAACCCGTGTCCGGGGGAGGGAGAAGGAGAAAGGGGAGGGGGCGTCTCCCGACCCGCCGGCTGCCTCTGGGGACGCGCGCGACCAGCGACACAGCGGAGCACTTTGTGTCCCACGCGGCGCCCCAGCGTCCGCCAGGGGCCTGAGCGGCGGCCGGGTCGGACAGGGCTTCAGGGGGCCTCGCGTGTCTCCGCAGCGGCGGCCGCGCTCACGCCCTTCACCGTGACCCGGCGCATCGGCCACCCCTACCAGAACCGGACGCCGCCCAAGCGTAAGAAGCCGCGCACATCCTTCTCCCGGGTGCAGATCTGCGAGCTGGAAAAGCGCTTCCACCGCCAGAAGTACCTGGCTTCGGCCGAGAGGGCGGCGCTCGCCAAGTCCCTCAAAATGACGGACGCGCAGGTCAAGACCTGGTTCCAAAACCGGAGGACCAAGTGGCGGTGAGAGAGGCCGGGCCCGGCTCACCTTGCACCTGCCCTGTCCCTGCCCCGCCCCGCGCCGCAGCCCCGCGCCCTCTCCACCTGGTGAGGCCGCCTCCCCGTTCCCGGATTTTATTTACCCCTTTCTCTCTCCATCGCTGGAGCGTCTCGGCTGCTCCTCGGTGCCCACCCGCCACCCCCAACCTCATCAGCACCTCCAACTGCCGGCGTTTTGTCTCCTGGCGCTCGCTCGATTTCCGCTCACCTGCTCTCCCCCTCCTCCCCGCTTCCCCCCACCCCCAGCCCTCTCTTCCCCTCCCTCAGCCTTGCCCGCCCTCCCCGATTCCCGACCCTCCTCGCGGGCTCCGTGTCCCACTCTGAGTCCAGTCTCTATCCGATTCGTTTCCATCTAACCCGTAAACAGCGAAGCGATCGCATCCTGGAAAAAAGGGTTCGAGACAGGGCCTGGCAGAACGGGGTGAGGCTGCCCGGGCCCCGGACGCCCCGCGGGGATGTAGAACATTCCCGGCGCCCCTGCTGCCCACGGGGCCGAGTCCATTTAAAACATTCCCTGTACCCACCCTTGTTATCCCGCGAAAAAACAATATTGTTGGCCCAGCCAGAGGATCCGGGCATGCAAGTGGACACAGTTCCCTCCCGGTGACCCCTGCGTGAGCCACAAAAACGTTCGACCCCGGGCCACGCGCCGTAGACGCGGGCCTGCGGCGTCCAGCGCGGGTCGGGAAGCTCCGGGGAGGGCCGCGCCGGGTGTATGACGGGGCTGCCCCTCTCCCTCCCCTGGTGCAGGCGGCAGACGGCGGAGGAGCGGGAGGCGGAGCGGCAGCAGGCGAGCCGGCTCATGCTGCAGCTGCAACACGACGCCTTCCAAAAGAGCCTCAACGACTCCATCCAACCCGATCCGCTCTGTCTGCACAACTCGTCGCTTTTCGCCCTGCAGAATCTACAGCCCTGGGAGGAGGACAGCTCCAAGGTCCCCGCCGTCACCTCTCTGGTGTGAGCCGCCCGCGCGCACCGTCGCCGCGGATCGCCGCCCCCGCCCGGCGGGGCGCCCCGGACCCCCCAGCCGGGCTGGGGGAGGTGGGGCGGGAGGAGGGAGGCACCGGAGGCCGAGAAGGGAAGGGGACACCAAGCCCCAGGAGGCCCCGGGGCGCCTCAGCAAACCGGCCGGCCGCGGAGGGGGGCTGGGCCCGGGCTCCGCGCGGCTGCACAATCCGAGCCCCCCCCCGCCCCGCGCCCCGTCCCGCCCCAGGCCCGGGCCTGACAAAGAAAGCGCCTTACGTTTCTCCGCCCCCCGCCCGCATCCCCCCGGGCTGGGCGCCTGTATTATACTTTGTACTTTTGCCCAAACGTGTAAATAATAAAACTTTTGGCTTTTTTCTTTAGAAACCCGCCCTCAGCTCCCCCCACCGCGGGGGGCCGCTGGGGGAGGGGCGGCCGGCCCCGCGGCGGCGGGGGGGAGCTCCAGGGGCCGGGGTCACCCTGCGTTTAGGCTGGGTCCACTCCTCTCCTTTTTCCGTTCCTTTTATTTAAGTCGTTTTATTTAATAAAAAAGTTAGCTATTTCACTTAACGCCGCTTTTATTTCGTTTTCGTTTCAATAATGCTTGGCGACCTCAGCCCTGCGCCCCACCCCTGCGGCGGTAGCAGCCGAGCGGCGGTGTGCGGGGGGCGCGTCCACGGCTCCAAGGTTCGTCGGCATTCGGCTCAGCTCGGACCCCGGCCGCGGCCCCGCGGAGGATGCGCGGTGCAGGTCAGTTCGTGCCGGCCTCCCGCAGCCCGGGTGCCTGCGCCCTGAGGGTGAAGGCGCTTGGAGGCCCGAAGGCCGCACGCGGACCAGCGCTGGGGAGTGCAAGGCCAGGCCTGGGCCGTACTTGGGCCGTTACCTAGTCTAGTGCACCTGGGCGGGTGAGAATCCGGGTGGTCTCCAACTTCTTGGAATGCTAGCCGGAACGAGGAACCCGCCCCCCCATCCCTGGGAACCCGAAACCCGCTCTCCGTTCTTTTTCCAGCGGGGCCTGGGAAGGGACCCAGGGCTGGACCCACGGACCCGGCTGTCTGGGCGCACTTGGCGCGGGCTGTTAGTGCAGAGCTGGTGCACGGCCCAGGTCTCCGAACGCAAGGGCAAAGCGCAACCCCAGGACTCCCTCTCGGGTTTGCGTGGGACCCCAGATGGGGCATGACGTCGGGTGACGTCACTGGACAGGAGGGGGCGGGGCGCCCGGAATAGTCAGAACCTTAGGCCGGAGTTGGGCTGCGGCGCGATCCGGTCCAACAAGCTTAACGGCGGCTCCAGAGTTGGAAGTGTCGGGATTGCGGCACCGGGAGCGGTGGCCCCTTCCAGCAAACACATACTCCAATCGCCCGTGATCACCTCCTCGCGCCCGTCATTCTCTTTCGGTCCTTGAGAAATTATTTTCCTGGCCTCTCCATTTCTTCCTTTACGCTGCTCTCCATTTCCTCTTCTGTGCGCTACTCCTGCTCTCTGTTACTCCTTTTTCCTTTTCCTTATAGTTTTATGTTTATTAGCTCGTTCTTTTGCTTTGATTTCTGAATCCCTCCTTTCTTCTCTCTCTCTCTTTTTCCATCACCCTCTTTTGTCCTTTTTGTCTTCCCTGTCTCATCCCTCAAAATCTCTTGGCTTCGCTCTTTGTCTCTTTTTCCTCACCTTTCTCCCTTCCTCCCTGGTCCCGGTCGGGCTCCCAGTAGCACCCCAAGGCTAAACACTTTCGGGACCAGTCCCAGAGTGCGTGCCCGCCTCGCCCCCACTGCGTCCCTCGGAGCCATTCGCGGGTCCCAGGGCCTCGGAGCCTTCGTTGCACGCGGACCACAGGACGGTCCGCACGATGGTCCATACTGGCAGGGCTCTGGGGGAGGGGAGCGCGGCTGACACCCCCTCCCCGGCTGCTCCTGGTCCTCCTGCCCTCAATCCACGCGCAAATGCTACAGATCCGGGATCTGCACCCCTGGGGGTTTACAGATGCCCTGGGGGCGACACGGAACTTGGGGTCTCTTCCGAGGGTGTTTTCCTGAAATGTTTTTATTTTCCCCTCTGAAAAGCCGGTCGAGAAAGGCTGGCGCTTCTACAGGGCCTGGCGTCGCTTTTCAACTCCCCTTCGTTTTATTCTGTTGCTCCTCCTACGGCCTAGCGTTTTGTTTTCCTAAACTACCCGAGCTGTTTTGCCAGGATGAGGCTCGATTGTGGGACCTCGTTGCGAACCTACGTTCGTCACCTCTTTCCTTCTCTCTGACGCCTCGCTTGGCGCAAAGGGTCTCTGGCGGAGAGGCCGTGCCGCGGTCGGCGTCCAGGCGGGCAGGGAGTCGGGGACCGGGTCTCTCTGCGGCACTCGGCACCGCTTGGCCTTCGCGCACCCGGGGCCTTCGGGGCGTTCTCTGGCGCCTCGCGCTCTGCGTCGCGGGCTGGGAGTCTCTTGGAGTCAGGGGGCTGAGCGCTGACTCCAGGAGGTCTCTATGTTCTGCGACCAGCTCGCACCCGTAGCGGCTGGGGCGCCCCCGGCAGGAGAGAGAGACTGCCTGCTCGGTGCACGGACCTTTAGTGCCTAAGCCCCTCCTCCCGGTATGTAAGGCCACGCGGCGGGCTTCTCGGTGTGGCTGCTCTGGACCAGGGTCCACAGACGCCCCCAGCTCAGGGCCCTCCAACCGGAGGGCCATGGGGCAGAATCTTGGCGCGTTAATGTTTTGATCCGGCGGACTCCCCCAGCCTGAGCTTGAGAGGAAAGAATGAGCACGGCTCGGGAAGACCCCGCATGGGCGCTTGCTTCGCGACCGTCTCCCAGCCAAGGTCCGGAGCCGATAGGTGAGTGTGGACGCCCAGCCCGGCCGCGCAAAGCATCGGAAGAGAAGCAGCTGGCCTCAGGGCGAGGGCTACAGCTCGCCGCCTTTTGCGCCCTTAAAGGCGCACCCATTTCACAGATGCAGGACAGGGAAGCCCGAGGCAGCTACGCGGGCCCACACGCACTTGTCGCGCAAGTTCGGCCTGCGCTTGGGTTTCCGGGCTGCGTGAAGGGACAGGCCGAAGGCCCTCGCAGGAGTTAGGCCGCGCTCGGTTCAGCTCTCCCGGGTACGCTCCGCAGCGGGCAAGGTCCGGGAATGGGGGCACGCGACAAGGACCCGTCCTGATCAGAGCCTTTGAGAAAGCGCTTCGCAAATCCTGGGGCCGGGCACTCAGTGTGTGTAGTGGGAGCGGTTCCGGGTCTGCAGCGCAGACCGGGGGAGAGCTTTGCGCTTCCCCGCGACTCGCGAGGCTTGGGGTCACCTCCCCTGTTTGCAGATGGGAAAACTAAGGCTCGGAGAAGTTCAGAAGTTAGTACTGGGGCGCGCAGGCGTGGCAGTCAGGTGCCCTCGCCGCCGAAACAACCCTCAGGGGTGGAGGGGAAAGTAAGGGGAGCTCCGGCGTAATGAGGGTTAGGAAGGCGGACCTGGGGCCCTGCATCCGCCCTGACACTAGGCCTGGGGTGAGAGTGGGGCACACCGGCTCCCCTGCTCCAGCTGGGGTGAAACTGGCTCCCCAGGCTTGCGTGCTGGCCCCCGTTTGCCGCCGATGCAGAAGAGGGGAGACTTGGCAGCGGCCTCCGGGAGCTCAGCGGTGAGGCCAGAGGCTCCGGTGCGCCCTTGGGCCGGGCGACCTCCACCTGCCCTCTTCACCCAGAGTGGCACTCTTTTGGGGTGCGAGGCGCCTCTCGCCGACCTGCAGCCGAAGGACGCGGCTGTGCCAGCAGGGGCCCGCCGCCCGCTGAGCCGTTTCGCCCGCCACGGCCTAGGCTGCTGCTAGCGGCGCGCGCCGCCTTCCCTCGCAGCGGGGCCAGGCGCTCGGGCTTAGGGGCCGCGGAATGGGGCCTCCAACCCCGCGCAGGGCCTGAATCGAAACCACACGGAAGGTCCCCGAGAACCTTGGTCAAAATCCCAACCTCGGCCTCGGCGCATCAAAAACCCACATCGAGCGAGTGTGGTGCTTGCGCCTGCGTGCGCGAGTGGCGAAGGTTTCTCAAGAGCGAAGCGATTTTCCCGGCGCGAAATCCACATCCGTCGGCCCACCCTATTCGGGAGCACCGGCTCGGTTAAGGGCGTCCCCGGTTCGCGACGCACAGGCCCAGGCGCGCACTCTTGGGTCGGACCCTCGCAAAAACCCCGGCCGGGCTGCCGGCTCCTCTCCGGCCAGCCAGCGCCGGTGGCTGGGGGTCTCCCCTCGGTTCCGTCGGTTCCCTGTTTGTGTGGCCCTGAACGAGTAGTTCTGGCTTCTAGCATGTCATTGAAGAATAACAAAGTTTATTTTTATTATAATTTGATAGTACAGCAGATTCTCGATTTACTGTGAAAACAAAAACACGTTTAAAATATTTTTTTATTTTCGGATAAAAATCTAATTCGATGCCTACTAATAGAGCGAGTGTTGAATCCGTGGTGGTGGTGTTCGGCTCACCTCTCTGGCCCCTGGCGGCAGAGGGTGACCACGTCGCCCAGAACCTGCCCCTGGCTTGACCGGGCAAGGCTACCGGGTGTCCTGGTCTCACCCTGGGGTCGGCGGTCACATCTGCCCTTAGTGGAAACGAAAACCTTTTCTAGCGTCAGACCGGCTGCCGCTTAGCGCCTCGGTGTGCTCCGTCGGTGTGGCGAGCGGCGAAATGGCAGGAGAAAAACATTTGAACAGAATGTGTGAGCGTGTTTTTGTTTTTATTATCTTACACGCTCTGTCATCCCGCGGAGTCCCCAGGACAGTCTTGTGCTCCAATTCTACGAATAGAAAGTTGAGCAAAGAAGGCTGCCCCGCCCAGGTTCACCCAGGAGCCCTGACTCGGCTCTGGACCCGAACGCCTGCCGCCTGCGTCCCGGACCGGAGCCCGGAACCCGGAGCGCAGGCTGGGGTACCGCCATCCGCAGGCTCATTAGAGAGACTTGTGCTGACCCAGACTCCCCTGATTTTCAGAAACCAAATCCCCCAGTGCAGGGTGCTTCTTAGACGGGCTTTGAAAGCCTGCGGACCGCGCTGGCCGGCTACCTGGAGCGCGCCCTTTTCGCCATCAAGCCATCCATCGATGGCGGCCTCCAGGAAGCAAGCGCTCAAGCTCTCCAGGGCCTGGAGCCCCGGGCGGCTGTGCATCCTTTGCCTCATTCGCCCTCATCCCGGAAAAATCCACTGCCCTCGGCGACGGGTGCGCGGAGCGCCCCAGGAGAGGACCCGGCCTCGCTCCCCCGGGCGGCTGGGGTAGGAGTGGGCCAGGTGCCCTGGGGCAGGAGAAGGTGGTGCGGGGCCCCACGGGCGCCCGGGAATACCCAGCGCGCTCAACAGCCCGGAGCTCGCACCTGCTGTCGGGGCCGCCACAGCTGGGTCACTTTTGTTGCTAGGAAGAGGGGGTGGGGTTGGGAGGCAGAAAGGGAACCCAGCCCTGAGAGAGGGCAGCGCTGTGTTGTCTGCTGTTTTCGTGTTCGTTTGTTGGGCGGGGCAGGTGGGGTCCCCCTGAGGCTGGATGGAGTCCCAGCAGGGAGAGCCCCTTCAGAACTGCGGCCACCTGCGCCCGCCCACGATGGATCTTGAGCCAGGCAGCCACCGAGCAC